AGAAATTGGATTGTGTTTAATTAAATCGTTGCTAAAATAAAATCATCTCTGAAAAAAGAAAAAAAAAAACAGAGAAGAGGGAAATCAAGAAAGTTGTGAGCGAAAAGAAGCACAAAATAATCCAGAATATCTTACATAGATCGTCATCACCGTGAATTTCCATCGCAAATATACATACTTCCTTATACATGCGAGATACGAGCTTGTGCGTTAGACTCGATGTGTCTGGCACGCTATAACATGGAGATAAAGAAGCAGGTTTAAAGGAAACAATGTCTCGAGGCGAGTTTATTTTTGGTTCGCGCATCGTTCGAGTTAGTAAGGAAGCTTTTACGCGGCGAACTAATCGACGAAAAGCTCGGCACCGAATTTCAACTGACGGCAGGTCACGTCCCGTTAATTAAGAACTTGATTGTCTCTATTGATCGACAATTGTGAACAACCACACCCGCCGCACTCCGAATGAAAGAGCTCTTGTCGCATTTATTCATACTTGTCCACCACATTTCAGCGTTGTACTCTCGCGAGAGATAAAACGTGAAAAGAGCGCGGCAATCCCGCATTGGTTGTGTCAGTGTTTGGTAATCGATGATAATCACTCAGCCGGATGTAATCCAATGTCGATGTATTCCCTTGTGTTTTTAATTACTTAATATTGGATGCAAAATTGTTCAGATGCATTTTCAGAGATTTTTATTGAACGTGAAATTTTTCGGTTTACCCATTAAAATTTTTTGTATTAATTTTAGTAATAAATTTTTTGTTTAATTTGTAATAAATATTTCCTTAGTAAAAAAAATGTCAAAGCATCGACAGCTTTTGAGTTACAAGCGCTTGAAAGTAAAGGACCTTCCGTTTACTAAGCTTTCCAGGGAAAATTGAATAACGAAACTTCATTGTCCATCTAAACTCAAGTCAACTTTGCTTCTTGAGAATTTTAATTCAAGGTACCAAGGTATTCAATATTGAGTATTAAGAAGCGGTGGAATTTTCCTGGGTGGAAAGAAAATATCGATCGCAAATTCGATAAGCAATATATACGATAAAAAATCAACTACGTTAAATTAAAGCCGGAGGTATGATAGTCGATATACAAATATTTTTTATTTGCTTTTATACTGCGTATATCAATTATTTCTTGCGGCACATGTAATGTGATGACGGAAGACTGCCCTATCGAGTGATTGTCATTTGAACCGAAAATTCGCGCATCGTAACGATCGTAACGATGCATCGGAAGCATGCACAAAAGCGTATCGCAAAGAGACACGATGCTCGATGTACCGCGAGAAATTTGACGACGCGGGTTATTGGCGTGGAAATTTCTGCTTTTTTCATCGCAAATAGTTTTCTTTGTAAGAATCTAACAGATGCTTTTGCCGAGCTAAAGGAAATTTTCTTTGCTTCGTATTCGCGTACAATCGCGACGCTCGCTGCGAGTTTCGACGCGATGTTGAATAATCGTGCGAATGCATTTACAAACGCTACCGATTATCTTCGTGTAGCCTACTTCCTGAAATAGCTAGTTTTCTCCGCGACCTCTACCTCGCAAGTGTGATAAATTCGGTTATTGGGTCGAGAAATCGAGCGGATTTCAGAAATAATATCCTCGCTTTCTACAATATACAGTTTTTCTCATCAAATCTGTCGGAATATTTTGTTCTGTCCAGGGTTGTTTCAAGAGAAAATAACCGATTGCACTTAAGAAGATAGGTCGATGAATAAGTACATATTTGTGTACTAATATTGTACTAATATTTCTACGCCAATTGTGTTGTCAATTCGCTAGTATGTGTTTGTTTTATAAATTGTTTACACTTCTAAAATTACAATATCACTTTCAAACAACTTCTAAAATTATAATATTACTTTCTATTCTTGAATCGATGATATTTATATTTCAATACGTAACAATGTTTCGAAAAGAGCAGAATATCTTAAAAATATTATGGAGTATTTAATCTCTATTTTTATTCAATATTATCGGTTTTAAAAGGAATACATTTTTTATCAGCTTTAAGTTGCTGATGTCAGGAAGAGTCTTGAGCACTCAAATCGAGTTTATTAATTGTAAAATTGAATAAATATTTGTGATTGTATTGAAAAATCTTATCAGAGAGATAAAAAAAACTAAAAAATTTTCTAAAATATTATTTTTGTAATTTTTTAATTTCAATATTATTATTTTAATTACATAATTAAAATTTGTTATAATAGAACGCGTTATAATTAACATATGTATGTTTTGTTGTTTTGTTGTTATTTGTATATTTGTTGTAATTAATATGGATTTATATAGCAATGCGGACGAATAGTTTTATCGATTCAGCTATCGATATTTCATCTTTAAACTTGGGAATTGTGCGGTTACAACAGCCATAGCTTATAATTGCTCAATAAAGAAGCTTGGTTACGTGTACGCGATGAAGTTCGGTTGCAGAACGCGGTTACGTCTGTTGACGGTGCAACAAGTCGGGTTAACAGCTGTTTCGGCCGCATATAGTTATGTGCACGACGACGGTGCTGTGGCACTTCGATTTGGCCCAAGTCCAGGTTGAGTTTGCCGGGCTTTAGTGAACTTGGGTGTTACGTTCGTTGAATAGAAAGCCGTGCTATCAGCCGTGTAAGTACAAAGCTGCAGTAAATGAAGTATTTCTCCGGTTTAGAAACACCAAATAGGAAAGAAATCGTTATAAATAATAATAAAGCATGGCATTCTCGATATAGCTGATATAATGAGAAGCTTACTTAGCTTGTTACGGTTCAAATTAATTTCGACAAATAAATCAATATATACTAAGTATTTTGCCCTGATTTTAACATTATACAGTAACGAAAATAACGATAAATTTTTATTATTTGGAAAATTTTCTGAAGATTAGAAAAATATAGTTTGCTAATTATTATTACTGCTTCAACTATCTAGAAAATTTATCTGGAGAATTGTCGCAAAACACTATGTTAAGTCCACCTCAATGCATAACAATAAAGAATTAATTAAAATTGTGATTTATTAAAATTGCAAATTGCTGTACAGTCTCGCGCTTTTTAATAGATACATAATTATGGAAAAAAAACTGCATAGTTATAAATTCCGCTCGTATCGAAAATGTTTTAGTTTACGTACAAAATTGCGTCCGTCAACTGACGTAATATGTATCGATTATTGAAAAATGCGGGCATAAGCTTCCGGATTTCCGGTTTTTCCACTACTGCAATATTTCACATATGCGCTGAATGTCATGTTTTCAGATACGAGCACGTGTCGTAATGGCTCATAACGAGGTGTATAATGCGCGACCTACCGCTCGCGAATCAATAAAGTCCACGCTACGCGGGCACATAATTATTAACTCTTTTAAAGCCGCGCGTTTTTCTCAAACGAGAAAAAAATGCCGCCCTATAACATTATATATGTGCAAACTTTGCACTATTTGCGGAAAACATATACAACGTGCGTGCACGTAGGGTTTTAAGGGATTTTCTCGACCGCTTAGCGGAAAATCTTTGTGTTCAATGATCATCCACAGAGGTTAGACGCTTTTTGTTTTTATTAAATCGGTTTTACCGACGCAATATAAACTCCAGGTAGCTGTGCTATGAAGGTAATGTTTACAGAAAAATATCAATCTGTTGTATTGCTTTTTGCAGAAACTTGCTTGTGCATTATTTGTCGCACGGTGTCATACAGATTTATTGTTTTTTAATTCTACATGATTTAATTTTATTATAAAACTACTTTTTCTATATAGAAACATTTAAGTTAATTACAAAAAGGATAAATATTATGTAAAAACGTTTCAGAATTATGAATTTATATTTTTTTATATTTTTTTATATTTTTATATTTATATTTTTTAAAGAAACGGCCATTATATATATATATATAAACATTTATGAGAAGTAAACAAAATTCTGAGAGATTGGAGCGATAAGCTCCAGTCATGTTAAAGGATTTATTCACTTAGAAATAAGTGTATTGATCCGTATTAAACAAATTTTTTTTAACATTTAAAGTACTGACAGTATAAAAATATTTTTTTATCAAAAATTATATTTTTGACAAGTGTTAATAAAATTGGCCAATAATATGTTATAAAAATTAATAGTTCACGAAACATATTGATGGTATGTTTGATATATTTTTCGGAAAAATTTTCTCTCTGTATTTCGCAAAACTTCAAATATTGTAAATCCAACGATAGTACATAAAAAATATTATTTTTTTGGAATAACGAGATTAATATTGCTTAAAAGACCGCAAGTGTAGAGAAACTCGAAAGGACTGTCAGGACGGATTGGCAGGACATTGAGTAAATAGAAGATCAAATCACCGAGACCGAGGGCCTTTCCTTCTAGACGTCTCTCATTGCCAATATATCACGGAGCGGATATATGACATCCGTCCGAACGTTGAAGCGAAACATTTTAACGCGTTTATGAGTGTATTTAATCATAGTCAGCAATAATCATGATTAATTTCGATGCGACATGCCTCTAAAATTTTAATTACAAAGATAAAAAAACAATTACATTTAATGATTATACATTCCATTATATTTCCGTAATTCCATTCAAGAATCGGTTTCCTAAATTTTTATATATTTTGTTTTTTGTTTTTCTGCAAAATATTTTGATTTATTCTTTTTACTTTAAATATTATCAAACAGAAAGAATATTGAGAGAGTAAATATATTTTATTTAAAATGTTATTGTATGAAAAGTTATACTTTGGCTTGTGTCAAAATTGATTCCAGAATTATCTAATGTGGAAGAAATTTATTGATCTGCAGATACTAAAATTGAAGTGTATAAATTACTTTCGTGGTTTCATAGATATCGATCGTTTCCAAAAAGCTTTTGTTGTATAGCTATTCTCACCGAAGCAAAGCGATCTCACATCGCAGCATAGAATGTGCGAAACAGTGCAACCGGAGAAACGTAGACCTCTTTGTATTCTCATATTACCGTACAAATGCATTCTAACGTACGTGGCTTACCTCAAGAATGTGGACAAAGCGTTGCCGGAGGAAAAGCTTAGAAACGGGATCCGAGACATGCACCGTCCTGAACGTTAAGGACCCGTTACAGGTCCTCGATTTCTTCTCTCGATCTCGTCTACGCTCTGTCACTTCTCGCTGCACGTCGCGATACACACTCTCTTTATCTCTCTCTTTCTTCTCTCTCTCTCTCTTTTCTTCCTTCTCTTTATCTCCGCTTAGCCGCAGCGACAAGTGGCAGCTTCGGCTACCGCGTTTGACTTTTCGAGTACCAGCAGTATCTCTGTTATAGCAGGCTTTATAACCGCGCTTTAGTTGAACGAGGCCCGGACGTACCTGCCGATATGTCGTGGGTTCATTGATTTCGCGAGACGACTGGGGGGCACGCGATGATCCGCACGAGGACGTGTTCGAGGGAGATCTCAAATGAGGAGCGAGCCAAAGCGATGCCGGTGCGAAGCGCTGACTGAACCACTGGCGAGGCACAACGAGGGGTGCTCCGTACGGTGTGCTCCGATCCCCTCTGCTACTCTCACCCTCTCGATCGGTCCTCTCTCTCTTTCTTTCTCTCTCATCCTCGCTTCTCCCCCTCCGAACATCCCTCCCCTTTGCTCTCCCTCTCGCGCGCGCGTTCTCTCGTTCTCCTCGCCGCGCGCCTTCCCCCCAACGCGTACGACCCTACGCTACGCTATCGTCCTCGCCGAGATATAACAGTGTACACACGCAACACAACGAAACATCATTGGCACACGACTGATACGATCCTGCGCCCTAAACCTCGCAGGAATATCGCAAAGCTCGTCCCTTCTTTCTCTCGCGTCAGAGCGTCGATGAGATTTAAGATTTCACATATGACGGTGGGATTCCTAACGAACGCAATTTCGTATACCATCGTTTTTCTCACGATCACGAAAATCATTTTGCGGCATAGTACTGTTATTTTCCAATGTGAGATTAGAATCGCGTGAGATAATCAAAATTTTCAAGTAAATATATGAGACAAATTTTCAGTGGTAAATTCAATTTTAATAAATAACTAAATCTAATAGATGACGAAATCTTTCAATTCCCTCAATAATGAACATTTTTGTAAAAATTGTATGAGAATAATAACTATATAAATTTTTTATATATGCTAAATTAATTTTTTATGCAAAATTAAATTTTTACATATATTGAGAATATTAATAATATATCTATCATATAACTTATCGATTTCGAATAAAATATGATAAAACAGTCATCTGAAAAGATTGCTAAAGTTATACATTCCTCAAGAATGACAATGTGTGTTCACAAACATCTCGCCTTACGTCCTAAACGGTATGAACATTAAGGGAGATGGCCTTAAGCTGGAAGTATGTGATACGAAGCGAGAAGTCTTATTTTCTGCGCACCGTAATCCTGTCGACATGGCATGCGTTAGGTTTACCTTGGCGAGGAGCGTCGAGCAAGAAATTTAATACCAAAATATGAGAATACAATAGCGAGGAGACAAGAAGCATAAATCTGAAATGACTTGGCGCGATAAGAAAAAGAGAATTCTTTCGCGGATCTCTTAGCAAAGATCTAAAAATAAAACGACGACGAAAATTCATAGCGTGAAAATTCAAAAGACATAGAATTAAAAAAAAATTTTAAAGAATGTTGAATTGATCAAGATATTGAACTGATTAAGAAGAATCACTTTTCGTGATTTTTATAGGGCTTTTATATAAAAAAAATAACAATCTTCGCAATATTACAAAATAATATACTAAATAATCATGAGAAATTCAAATTTTTCATAGGTGTAATTATTATATACATGTGATATTTTAGAGATTTTTGAAAACTAAGAGATGCAGAAATATTTAAAAGTCAATTACTTGCATAAAAATAACATTTGATTATTGTATATTTAATTATTATCGAATATTAATTCTTTTTTAGTCTATTCTTATGAGGAAAATTTTATGATTATGATTTTTATAATCTAACGCAGTGTTTGACTCAATATTCGTATACATAATATATGATCTCTATATATGTAACTATAGAGATACATAGAGATTACAAATATAGAGATTACAAAAATATAAAATTATATGTGTCTACAGTAAATTACATATATGAAAATGTTTTCATTTATAATTTTGTTATATAAATTTTAATTTAATTTTCAATGTGTTATAAGTTTTTAGTCTGTAGAACATGAGGAGAAAGATTTTATTAATGATAATTATAAATATATTTATTAGAACAAGCATCTCTACAATAGGAGAACATAACAATACATTAATATAGTGCTATCATAATTCTTTAAGATTCATTGATCAAATATTGAGATACGCTTAATCTTCTGAACTGCAGGATCATCCGGTCTGTAAACTAAATTATTAACGTTATTAATATTAACATTAGGATATACTATTAGATAAGATGGCCAATTTTTACCAATGATTCTGTTTTATCGGCACATATTCATGAGATTGCATAACAATCATAAAATCTCAAATAAATTCAACCTGAAAATGAATACTTGTTTACTTACTTCTCGGCAATTTGTAATATTTCGGAGTCATATCGTGCGTGTTGTAATAATGTATCATGTAAGCGACACTGAGAAGTGACAATGACGAAACAATTGTGCCTGCCATTATTATTGGGATTTCCGTCCACCCTTTGCGCCAAAAAAATTTAATCTTTGTGACTGAAATGAAACAGGAGGAAAACGTTTATTTGCGATATTGTTCTTATGCTTTTTCTAACAAATTTATTCGATCTTACAAGCGCTAGTTCCTCGCAGGCGACTTAAGTCCTCGGCGGTCTTCCATCGTACGTTGAATTTTACCATGGCTGTCTATTTAGTCGATTCTAATTCAACACAAATCAATTAACGTTTACGAATATTCCGAAATTACAAATGTCACAGGAAAAATTGACCAAGTGTCCACACGAATAAGGTTAGGAAGAACAGTACAGCTGTTATTGCTGTTCCGTGCGCTGCAAGCGACGACACTCGACAATAGAAGTTATAGTCGGTACTGTCGCAATACGTTTTTATCTATTATCAACCAAGCAGCGTGCGCTGCCATCTTGTGAGCCAAGTGCAAGCTTCCTGATTGCACGGCAGTATGGCCGCCGTTGCGATATCTTTAATTAGTGACAAGTGAATCGTTCCGTGTTTTCGCAGGACTAGCGACGAGCGAGGGGAGCGCATCCGACCGCTGCACGCACGGCAGACCCTGGCGGACCTCGATGAATCGGTGAGTAACAGCATTCAGTCGAATTAACGGCCACACGACAACAACCTCGGTACACCGCGAACGAGCACCTCACACCCTGCCGTTCCCACGCAGCTCTTTTTGCATTATTAGCGACGACATACAGTATCATCGTCCATTGCCGGCGTCACTGACGCCGTTATCGCATGGTTCCGCAAAAACATATATTGTTACTCACACAAAAGTGAGATTAACAAACAATTAACAAGTGCAGCAAACGATTCATTTCGGAGCAACCCGGAACACACGCATTTCAATTATGTCATATCGTGAATTGATCGTGCTCTCGTAAATTTCTCGCGTTTTATGCAGGAGCATTTTGTTTTGTGAATTTGCAAAAATAGTGCACAGAGGATTTGGTTAGGTCGGCGAGACTCTCTTCTCCGGTGTTTACCGCATTTCGAGATTTCGGCCTCCCACATTGTCGGAACAAGAGATTGTCGGTTGGAATGTGCATGCAGGGAGAGTTTGCGGTATACCGAGCGATGTCGCCACGAGGTTGTGACGATGCATTATAGCTGTAGATTTGTGTTATTTATTTATTTTTTTATTGTTGTATTATAATAATACACATATAATTGCAAACGATGCAATAATCTATTTGGTTTTATAATTAAAAAATATAGCTTATTTCAATCATGTTGCAATATTATGTGTTTAGCAATGATGTTGTAACAACATTTGTTGTTATCTTTATTATTAAAGAACGGCATTAAGTGATAAACGATATGTTATTTGTTGTGACACATCGTGACTTCTGACTGTGTAAAAAATATAAAAATAGATAAACCTTATCTTGCTGTTATCACAATCACAAGTTATTTTTTGAACAATTTTAAAGTCGCTAATAAACCTTTTTTTGAAAAAATCGTAAAATTTGCAAGTAAAATACGGTGATATCAAAAATTAGTTAATAAATTAATTAATTCAAATAGTTAAATAACTTTGAGTTAGCAATTCACAGTTTCTTTAAAATTATTTATCGTTTTATTAACAGAGAAAAAAGAGAAAGAATATTTATTTAAACAAAGCCAGATTTAAGTGAAATTGGTATAAGGAAGCCTAATTTTGTTTTAAAATATAGCGTAAATTTTGCTATAGTCGTTAGAATTATCATTTACCCCGAAATATGCTATGATGCTGAAAATGGCACACGTCATGCGAATATCACGCGCGATATTTCTACATTGTGGAATATGTGCCAGAAGATTATGATATTTACGCCACACTATAAATTAAAAATAATTCATATAGAATAAGGAATTTTAGGTCAATAAATACTTTAAAAATATTATTAAGTTGATCAATTATGATCATTTATGTTAAAAGATAGTATTTTTGAATATGAAACAATACAAGATATCTAACTGACAAGTGAAAAAAAAGATTATACATGATTCGATTTCAAACCAATATATATTTGCTATAATATATAGCAAATACTTGAAGTCATTTAAAGAAAATCTTTATACCAAAATGTGAAAACTACAATAGTTTTTGAAGGGGAAGTGTTCAAAGTTGATTAATCAATTTGTCAAAAATTTACACGCTCATGCATGCTGCGAATTGATTTTTATATTCTTATTATATAAGAAATCTACTATTAATAGATGATGCAGTTATATATATAGTCTGAGACACCTTGTATATTTTATAATATTTTTAAATTTATTCTTTTATAATAATATTAAAAAAATATAAGATAAATTTCATTGATTTACTTCAGCACGCGCAGCAGCAGAGTTGATCTGTAACATACAAAATATATCTAAATTGTAGCAGCGTTTAAAATAATTATTTGAAATAAAAGAATTATATATATTTATACCTAATAACTAGAAAAAATCTTTTTTAATAAATTTTTCAAAATTTCTATGCGTTACATCACATAATATTTTGCGTGCAATGATTCGCAAAGACAAATAACAAATAAATAATTACTTACTCTAAAATTATTCCGTTGGCGCCTGATGCTCTTCTTGATTCTCCTTCTCCTTGCGGTTCTTCAAGACATTCACACGCGTTTGCAACGCGAATACAAAAATCATCCGATGTTTTGAACAGTACTCCCGATACGTACCTTATCATATTAAGACAAACATGTAACTCGAATATTATCGTATGGAATACACTTCGCAATAGGTAACGACGGAAAAGGAGATGGAAAACTGCGAGAAGTAGGAAGGGGAGTAATATTGAAGAAAATAACACGCAGATACAGAACGATTTGCCCCGTACAAGGTGCTGCCGTACGAATAATAAGGATGCAATAAACATATCAAGGATAAACTCGCGCCAATTCCGATTTGGGAGAATACGGAGAGTAAGGTGCAATAATATGTCTGCCAATACATAGCGCAAAAGAAGAGAGGGAATATAAATCACGCAGGCTAAAGACAACGAAAACAACCCCCCTCCCCCCCCCAATTAATTTATTTTAATATTATTAAAAGAATATACTTAAAAATATAAAATATACAAAATGTCTCAGACTAACTGTATCATCTGTTAATAGATTGAGATTTTTCATATAAGGATTTAAAAACCAATACGCGACGTGCCCGAGCGCGTGAGTTTTTGATAATTAATGATTCAACTTTGAACACTTCTTATTTAAAAAATATTGTAGTTCTCACATTTTGATATGAAGAATTTTATTTGTAAATGACCTCAGAAATCTGCTATTAACGGATGATATAATTAATCTAACATAAAAGATAGTTTGTTAGAGAATGACATGTTACTATGTCATATTATATTTGTTGTTGGTCGTTACTGAGAATATTTAATGAACAGAAAACAAAAATTTAATGAGAGAGAAAGCAGTAATCGATGATTTACGCAAAAGTTGGATTTTACTCTTGTTTGACTGTTTTTTATTGTACTCGCGGCACGAATTCCGCTAATTTCAAGGAGAATTTCGTTAGTAGAATCCGTAGCTCTGGAATTTCAGGATTATGCGCCAAAAAGCAAATAGCGCGTCTCGAGTGCGAGAAAAAGTTGTGCTCGCGTTCGCGGCCAACACATGCTCCATCGAGACCACACACATGGTTCCAAGCAACGGAAAACAAAATGTATCTCTTTCAACGCTTTTAGTCTTCGCATTAGGTATGTGAATGCTTTTTACTTCGTGATACTCATATGCAGACATATATTAAAAATGTTTTAGGAAGAGATTATCTAATCAATAAAAAAATTAATTGTTTCTTATCAAAAGTATCGAGGATAATTTTGATTTGTCGCAATTTTTAAATCTTTTACATATTTAAGTACATGAATATACTGCGTCGCAATCTCGCACGTTTTTAGTTTATCAAAAAAATATGTTGACTCTACGTTAGTAGAGATCTTTGGGAATGTATTCATGTAAGATCCTTGAGATCGATATACGGCACCTAGTCAAACTGATTTATTCATGGATCTACCCACGCGGACACGTTTACACCTGCATGAAAGTCATAAGATCTAGGCTCCGTGATATGATCTTTCGATTAGCCTCATCACTGTTGTCGGAAGTATTTAACTTCAAATCAATTCCGGTGTAAAATAATGGAATCTTAATCAAATTTGCAATATTTGCGGAAAATTAATAGCAAAGAATCAATATATATTAATTAATTCACGTTATTTCTAATCATTTTTATTTCTATTAAGGAAAATTTGATTTATTTTGCAATCATTATTGTGTGAAGCTTTTCTTAAAAGTAAGGAATGTAAGTTCTTAACAAAAATATTCGTTGCCGAGCTTAAAATCTTAAACGTACAATAGACCACATTTTATTATATCTTTCTGGCATACGCGTGAAGTTAGCCCCCCAATATTAGAAATAATTAAGATATTTTACATGATTAGATTGCACATTGTTTGCACATGATTGCACTTCTTTTATTTTCGTTTGCACACCTCTAGTGAAAAAGTTATACGTAAAATAACTTAATTATTTCTAATACTGGGGGGGCTAACTTCACGCGTATCTTTCTGTCGATGTCGACGTTGATAAATTATGTAGATACATTGAATAGATTAACAACTATTGCCGTATCTGTTAGGCGAAAAGCTAACATCTATCATGCAGCACTTTTCTACTTATCTGCAAGAAAGCTTTTCCCTTTTAGCTTATGCTGCAATAACAAGGAGTTAGGAAGTCCGACACACTATCACGCTTCTCGTTCCTTGGCACAAGCGGTACGACCGATTATTTATTCGTTGCCTCTTACGCAATGACTCGGGACAGCCGACAAAGTATCAGCCGACAGAAGAACGATGTCGACTCGCGAGAGAATTGTTACTACAACGGCGACAACGACGTGCCGGGGGTGGACGCGTTTCGCGGAACATTCGGGTTAGATTTGCGCGTCGCGAACGGAGTCCGTTTCCTTACCTAAACGCCTTGTCGACGCTTTTGTGACGTTCGCTTTTCGCCTCCGCGTTGCGCATTCAACGACATTTTCCGGCTTAGTTAGCCTAACTGATGACATCAAAAGTGAGAAAATTACGGTGAAACACGCGGAAATGATTCTGGCGACTCGTGTTCACGCAAATAGCTTTTCATCAACAAAATCGTTTTAATTCTATAAAACAATTTTGTTAAATATGTCACAAATTTTATTATTAGTTCGAATTACGTGGAAAAAGTAAAATCATTAAAATTAAGTAGTAGTTATTAAAATACTTTGAATTTTAAAAGACTTTAGATACAAAAGTCGATCATATCGGGAAAAAGACGGTAAATTTTCTCG